TTGTCGATTTCATCAATTTTAGTCCCTTTTTTTTTCATGCCACGTCACTTTTTAATCCAGGGTACGGATAAAAAAAGGACCAAAATTGATGATATCGACAAATTATAGGATCTAAATTGAAAGTGGTCAATATAGCGGTGGTTTTTTGGACAGTGGCCAAATTATAGGACAAATTTTGAATTTTTGCCAATTATATCACCACCTCAACTTCTTTGCAAAATGGTATACGAAATAAATTAAAAAAAAAAANNAAAAAAAAAAAAAAAAAAAAAAAAAAAAAAAACAGCTATCGGAATCAGAGGCGTGTCTGAAATTTGTTAAAATAAATTATATTAGATCGTGATTAAATTGCAAATTTCGAGCAAGATAAGCCATTTATTATTTAAAATTTGCATATTTATATATGTTCATAATATAATTGGTGTATTAATTACAATTTATACACAGGAAGTGTAGCTGGAAATGAAATTACGCGTTTAGACTGAGTCTGTATAATATAAGAAAACATAACTAATAAAACAATTATTTATGAAATTTATAATTATAAATATATTAACACTTGCTCTCTAACTCTAAGTTGACCTGTTAATTTTCAACTTTAGCAGCATTTTATTACCTAGAGACTAAATACTCGATCAAATTTCATACCTAATTAATATAATACAAAATCATATATTCAAAGTGTAACCGTCAGTTGCTGGTAGAGGTTGAGAGAAAGTTACGAATATAATGATATGGTCTCGTTACGGAACCATCCCGTCGAATGTTTTAACTGTTGATTATCTATCTTATAGTAACTGTTGGGAATATCACTTGTGAGTTGTCACACATTGAATTGATAGGGTAAATGAGCCTAGTTTATAAGTCTAGTGGGCTACTCCTCCCAGTGGCGAAACTAGCCGGTCATCTCGGGGAGGGCTCAATTTGCCGCGGCACACCATCCCCACTCCGGCCATCCCCCGGCGCACCACCCCCACTCAGAAATACTCTAGAGATTTTTCTAAAAATCAAACTAAGTACGGAATTAAACTGGTATACTTAAACTGAATTGTTTTAACTCGAAAAATTCTCGAATTTATACTAATAAAATCTCGGACTCAATTATAATAATAATAATAATCAAGAATTATACCTCCTTTCGAATAGACGAAAAGCTAAAAAAGTTGAGAAAACGAAGCCTCGAACGATCGAACTCGTCCTCGACAAATTTGCTCATTTTGATACTATATAACGAGAAATTCAAACTCCCGTAATAAATGCTTGGAACTCCGAAAAATGCGAAATTTGTCCGTATGGAATCGTGCTTGAATTGTCTACACGCTCCAACTCGATTCTCGTTAAACCGAGGTCACACGCAAACTTACGGAACCCCGCAAAACGACTTTTTATTCTTCTATTATGCGCACTCGACTTCGAGCTTCTCAAAATAAATGCTCGAAACTTCTAAACGTGAAATAAATTATAGGAACGGCTTCTACTGTTCTAGTGCTTTCAAGAAAGCACTCCCGCTAATTTTCAGCACGCCTAACAAGGGCCGACGATTACCCGAAGTCTAGACATGAAAATGACAATAAAATCACCGCCACTGCCATTTTTCTCTCAACTTCGGGCTACCCAAAATAAATGGTCGGGACCTCAAAATCATAAATTGATGCCACCAACGCACTCTCCGCTTCCTGTACTTTCATAAAAGTATTTTTCGGTAATGATCGACTCGGTTTTTGAGTCCCCTCGGTACACCGCAAATCGGCTAATTAACCAACTCAAAATATAATAAAAATGAAAAAATTATTAAATTATGCTGTTGTTATTGTCCCGAAACCAGAATCCCGTTTTGGGGAGGGGCCAATTTGCCTTTCAAAAAAAATTTCATGACAAAACCGGTGGCGCCCCTCCAGTCATGTATGTACCGCATGAAACCGGGGAGGGCCAACATGCGCGTTCTAAGGAAAATCTTCCAGTTTCAGCAACATCCTCCACCCCTTGTTAATTTTTTTTTTTTTT